CTGAACCTTCATCCAAGCACCTACCCAGTGTTGATCGTAATCAGCTGGTCTTCCTCTGCCTTCCTCTTCATCGTAGAAAGGTAAGCCTTCCCGCCTTGCCTGATGGTATTCCTTCCGTAACTTCTGGATGCGGTCTGCAGTCCCCCCAGCTGGACGGTCACTGGATAAAGAAGCAAATGCAACATACGCATCTGAATGCTTTTCATCTTCTGTGGATTCGAGCAGTTTGCAGGTGTAAATTTTCACCTTGGGCCCAATTAAAATTTTAGCTTTGGAAAGCCCAGGCAGAGTTCTTCATTGTTTACCAATGCCTTTGAACACACACACACACACACAATATACGTGCACACATATGTGCACACTATGGTCATGTCCCTTGCATATTTTTATTAATTTATGGCATTATACTTTTATGTTATACATTTACGTTATAGATTATACTTGTGATACTTGTGCGGGGATCCCTTTCTCTTCTTAGCCGTGGTTCATGCCTTCCACCATTGCCTCCGCTGCTGGCAAAGAAATAGGTTTGTTGTCTGCATATGCAAAGACAACACTTTCATGTGGGGGGTGGATTTAAAGCCCCTCCAATGTACTACTTAAACTTTTCCAGATTTTTCTGCAACTCAAGGGGAGTCCCCCAAGTTTGCAGAATGATCTGTTTTTAGCCACTGTGGGCCCAATCTGCAGATTTACTTATCCGCAGATTGGCCGTCGCTTGACTGTTTGCCCTCAGATCACAAATTCAAGGAGCACAATCTGCTATTTATTTGGGCTTGTGTACATTTTAAATGTATTACCTGGCACTGTTGAGCTAACCTGCAACAGTTATGCGGAAGGCACCTGGGAACCAGTGCAGACATGGCGGGAACCCACCCTGCTCTAGTTCAACTTACATCTGTATGAAGAAAAACTGGGTTTTTTTCCTACTGGAACTCAAGACCCACTACTGTGTCCATGAAGCTTCCCAGACTGAGTGGGCTGCCTACTTCATGAACCCATCTTCATTCGTTCCTTCAGCTGCCTTTTCCCATCCCACGTGGCACTAAAGGAATTATTAGAAGATACACCTAACTGAAGCCTGATGGGATTGTGCCTACTCAGGGACTTCTGCCTTCCGTCTTCTTTTTTCAACCCTAGGCCACAGCTAAACTGTAGGTTAGGGAAAGTTTGTGGGAAAGGTTGAAATGTGGCTCCCGGGATGAAAGAGATGGTAATGTTTGTGGCGTATGATGTGCAGCATTTTTAAATTATAGTCGTGTTCAGCTCACTCTGTATTTGTGAAGCAAAAAAATGAAGAGGGAAAAAAAAAGAAAGAAAGCCATACAGTTAGCTGGCCAAGATTTATATTTCCTGTCTTCTGGGGGTTTAAATATAAGGATATTAAACTAATTTGATTCACAGTGACATTTATGGATACCATATACATTTCCTACGTCTGCCCAAATGTAGGGATTAAATATCGAGGGAGAGAGACTCAGTTTTATACAGGGTGAAAGGGGTTGGGGAGGGGGAGAGGGAGAATGTAGACACACTATAGGTTCAAACAGACCGTGCAAATGGAATATCATTCAAATATACACAGCACGATTTAATACACAATTTATATATCATGCGCTTCATAGAATACCATAGAATCAAACAGCAAGTCTCTGGTTCTAAATCAATTAAGTAACTTCCTTCACTTTGAGCCACTTAGAACCACAATTCCCACTTTTTTAAAAACAGAAAAACTACAGTTATAAAGGATATTAGTTTCCTTGTTCTAAAACAGTGGGAGATGTGATTCTGAGTGGCTTACGAAAGGGAAAACTTAAAATTTTCAGGTGATTGCATGTTTCTTAAATATTACTGCTCATAATGTATTCTACGTTGACCCCAAAAGTGCAAGTTACTCTTGTGTGTAAAAGTGTCATGTGAAAACTATGCCATAGGAGAGAAGGCCTGTGATCAGCAAGATCCAGTTTTGTGTAGTGGTTAAGAGCAGCAGACTCTAATCTGGAGAACCGGGTTTGATTCCCCACTCCTCCACATGGAGCCAGCTGGGTGGCCTTGGGTCAGTTGCTATTTTCTCAAGGGCAGTTCTTTCAGAGCTCTCTCAGCTCCACCTACCTCAAAGGGTGTCTGTTGTGGGGAGAGGAAAGGAAGGAGATTGTATAAATCCAATCTCTTCTTCTTCAAACTACACAGTATGTTTCTTCGCTCATTTACACTAGTTTCCCTATGTTCATGGGGAACTGCTTTTGAGAGAGAGAGAGAGAGAGAGATAGCCCAAATGGGCTCAGAACGGTACCATGGGGAGGCTCTTGCCTCCCCCTTCAGCAGTTTTCATGCATTGAAACTACACTGGGGGGGGGGTTATGTCACTGATTTTGCTGCTCCACATAGAGTATATTTGTGCAGGTGGGGCAGCAAAATCAGCACAGTGACTCCCTTTCAGCGCCGTTTTTGGCTGAGTTCAGACTGCCAGTTTGATGCGGGAGGGAGTTGTGGCAAAAAAGAGTCAGAACAAACTGTTCCGGGTTTTCCCGTTCACACTGTAGCGACTGATGCGGGAGCATACCGGGAGGAGGCGCTAGGGAGCGTTCACACTGTTGGCCTGGAGGCACGGCTGTAAGGCGCGGCTTTCTTTTTTTGTAATCTGGATGTGCTTATGTGCATAAGCGCACAAGAAAATGCGGCTTTTGGCATTCACACTTGGTTGGTGCGGGATGGACATGGGATAATCGCGCTTTCCAGGATTTGCTACGACTTTCACCAGGTATTTTTTAAACTCAGGAGCGAAGCGTTACAAGACGGGTTGAGTATGGGTGGGGAACGCCTGACAGATGTGCCTGTGTGAACGGCCCATTTAATCCGGTTGTGGAACGTTTCTGAAATGCGCGTATATCGGGGCAAACTGCCGGTCTGAACTCGGCCTTTGTGTGAGAAAACTGCTGGGGGGGGG